GATCCTCCCCTATCAAACTGATAATGGGTTGGATAGTTCTGTACTGCATCTTGGTTTTCCATTGGAAACTTCACCTTCATAGCAGGAGAATAAAAAAAACAAACAGATCTGAAGCACTCGCAGTATATTCTTATATCGCTAATTGTTAATGAGAAAAAAACCCTAGATTAAGATTCTAAGGACAAAAACAAATACTCGGTTTACTAGTATTTGCATGTGGCTTTTTTTTACCCTAACAAAACTGGCAAGCCCTTAGTCTTTTGTAGAAAATGGCTGCTATTGCTTTTTTACATTAGCACAGTAGAAAGGCTAAAAATTAAATATTAATTAACTGGATATATTTTCAAGCAAGTTTGCTGGAGCTTTAAACCCAGCACTTTCTTTAAGAGCCTGGTGCTTTTAAAGAGTATGGAATTTAAACACAACAGTAACGTTACCACAGAGCCTCTTCTCATTCCAAGCATCTTTACTCTTATTTACTATTTTTTTTAAATGCAAAAAGCCCACAGAGGTAGTCACTTGGCAGAAATAATTTATGAATTCAGCAGAAAACTATGCACAAATTCAAACCTATAGAAAGTGAAAATATTTTCCTGCCTCCTTTCAGATAAAGAATTTTCCTGTCTCCTTTCAGATAAAGAAATTGCTTGCAGCAGTTCATTTAAAGCCAGATCCTATCACACTCACATTAGAAGGACACTCTTTAAGAGGAAATAAAATGACACACCGATCTGTTGACTAGCGCATCGATCAGGACATGCTGATAGAGAATCATTAGTCAAGATTCCCTACTAATGGAAAATCATTAGTAGACAGCCATCAGCAGCAATGCCTCTTAGGTTACTGAGCCTTCTTTTAACCAATACCTAACTCTGAGGCCAGTTTCTCTGTAGCTTTTGAAGCTTCTGTGGCATAATTTATTCAAGACTCTTGACATAGTGTAGTCCTTCTGGATCACAGTATCAGCTTGAAAATGAAGTACACAGAAGTGTGTGGAAATGAAAGTAAAAGGGCAAAGGGGAGCTCTTACTTTATTGAATGTACTGAGGCAGCATGAAAAACCTAGTTTAAATTCACCCAAACCAGAAATTTTCAAGACAAACACTAACAGTTATTCCTTTGTTTCTGTTTATTAGCTGCAGGCATCTCAGTTCAGGATATATCTCAGCAGGATCGTGATTACTTCAATAAATAATGCATGCTTCATATTGATCCTCTCAGTGTACCTGCTATGCCATTTATTCTGGCACCCAAACGAAGCCCGTGATGTGTTTGGACAGTCTGGCTAGCAGGTGGCATGGCAGGACGGACCCAGATTCACCAAATGCATCTGTGTGAACTCTGATGGAGCAACGCTCTAAGCAAAATCAGTGGCAGTCTAGAGAACCCTGAATTTCCACAAGAAGGAGAAAACAATAGAAATAAAAATTGATTGTTTTTAATACTTATTAATGATGATTTACAGTTGAAATGGAGCACTTCGGTTACAACACTATCTTACAGTTAAAATGGAGCACTTCGGTTACAACACTATCTGTAAACTGCGATGAGCTGTTAGCACAAAGAGGCTGAAACAAGAGTTCAGAAGCAGAAACATCCAAAATGCAACCTTTCCATTACTTAGTGTTGGTATAGGAGGTTTCAGTACATGGTTTTGACAGATTGTTTTGAGTTGAGAAATTGAGATCCAGGGCTAGACTGTCTCCATGTTTTCTTCTTGTTGCTTTTTTTTTTTATTATTTTTTAAATCAGGTAATAGAACTGTAACACTACATAGCAGTTGCTGATGTTGTCCCTACAAGTTATTGTCTATACTGTATAACACTCAGACAATACAGCTGGTAAGTATCAGGACTTTGGGATACCTGCTACAGTTTTTTTATTGAGCTTCCTAGACTTAAGTGTGCCTTCCAAGTAAGTTGATGCGATTATGTACTAAAAATTCCTTCGTTACTCTTATAACTTAACATATGGTCTGAACCACTTATCTTGTTTGTAGATGTCCTGACCTTTAATGTTTTACATATTATCTTTTCAGTTATCATAAATGTCTCCTAAACAGCACCTGGCTTCTGCTCTTTATAGCTTCTTTGTCATCCTGTGCTGACTTTACATATTCAATTTCTTTAAAAGAATCTGTTCGATATTAAATTACCATATGAAGTTTCTCAATACATAGGAGACAATCAAGATTTTCCACTTTTTATTGTTGTTGTTGTTTGGTTTTGGGGTTTTTTTCTTTTGGTTTTATCTCAGTGGAGTTGACTGCTTTCCAGCTACAAAAAAATGCCAAAGTTGATATCTTGGGGTTTTTCTTTTGGTTTTATCTCAGTGGAGTTGACTGCTTTCCAGCTACAAAAAAATGCCAAAGTTGATATCAGCTGGTCCAATGCCGAATGAAGATACAGAAGACACTCAATAACTACAGACTGATGTACAATTTTGTATTTCCAGTAGTCCTTCCTTGTAAGAGATTCCATTTCCCTTTCACAAAAGTTCTTCTCATATCCCACCATCTCCTCTAAAAGACCGACTTCATCATCTTAACGTATCTTTCTGCAGTAGGTTTCCCTGGTCTAGCTAATGGAGTATAGGATTTGGGAACAAACTGGAACTATTATCATCATCATTATTAATTTACAGGTTCTAAATGTATATTACTGTTTCGAATAGCATTTCCTCTCTTGTAGGATTTCGATTTGACAGGTAAGGCTTATTTAGCCCCCAGATATCATTCCACAAGCTACTGTAGTAAGGGTAGAAAATCCGCTAGGTTTCACATCACGTGTGGTGACATTCAGTTTACTTCCTGATGTCCACCTTAGCTTTAATCTGGTTAGAAAGCAGTGGGGTAACTCACTGGGCTTTTGAGAGCCTACGTGAGTCTTGAGTGGATACAACAGCGAGGGGGGGAATGAAGATGCCCTTTCACACACACGTCTTCTTTGCTTGAAGAGTTTGTCTGCAAAGAGGAACAATTCTGACAAATAAGACTGCCAAAGCAAGCAGTGTTTTTTAAATTGTCAGCGCAACGTAAAACAGCATTTCTTAAACAATTTAAGACATCATCACACTATTTTTTTCTTTTTAGTTTGGCCACAAAGAAAACATTGTGGACTTGATCGTGTTCTCATGCTGGTGGACACAGGGAATAAATGCAGTAAAATGTGGTGCAGCAGACCTCTGGAAAAGGAGACAAAATCCCACAGTGTTTACACATATGCGATAGACATCCTTTTCTCTCTTTAAAGAAGTTAGTTCTTCCACCAGACCTGTCACAAAGTCCTTATTTCATCATGAATCAGTGAACACTCAGGATGCAAAAACAGGCTCAGAAATGTATGGCACATTGCTGATAAGGAAGAGGAGAAAAGAAAAGGTCAAGTCTTTGAAGCAAATCGGCTAATTCGGCAAACAAAAAGCCTGGTTAGGGAACAATGCAGAACTCAATGAATACCCAGGGAACTGCCTCGCAGAATCAACAGGTGCTAGATAACCCATCAAACAATATCTTTTTTTTTCTCCCTCAATAATTTGCCAGCAGAAACAACTGAGGTGATGTTTTCTTTGCTATTTATCTGGCTCCCTGGTTTCAGAGTTGTATGGTTAGCACCTGGAAGACACATCATTTGAAATGCAAAGCCAGCTGAAACTGGTAACAGAGATGCAGGCAGAAGATGCCCTCCAAAGGATGAGAAAGATGTGCTATACGTCTGTCCATTTCACTGTGTAAATACCTACTTCCACCCAAAATAATAGTAACCAGTTTTGCTGGTAAATCTCTCTATCCATTTATATGAGATATTTAAACACATCCCTCCATTATCAAGTGCAAACATACCTCTGGAAACTGTATTGCTTCTGTCTTAGTTCATTACAGTACTTAAGCGTATCATAAGAATGGCTTTGACTAATGCCATTAATTTGCCTCTTCTATTCTCAATGCTTGCATCTCTCTGCTTTTCTCACTACTTCTGCATGCTTCTAAGGACTCTGAAATCTGGAACGGGAATAGAAAAGGAAAGATACCTTTCACGCTGGCATGTCATATCTTTTCTAACTTGAACCCTAGACACAGACTTAAGGTAACGAACATTTACAGACAGGTTTTAACAATGGCTAAGCAACTATTCCAGAAAATTCAGTATTATTCAAACAAATTTGGCATAAGAGCCGTGTCAAAACCCTTAAAACGAAGAAGAGCAAAAGAGTGGGGATTAGAAACTCAAATGCTTAACCTGATATTTGGACAGGAGTCTGGGCTGCTATTTCTGGTGTGTTAAAGAGCAGTCAGTGGAACATTTTGATATCCAAATTTGGTTTGTCAATGCGTTTAGCCAAATGAACAACTAGTGCTTTGGATCTCATTATTGCATGTCTGGACACTGTAAATCAGAAGTGATAGTTCAGTTATACTATGAGGAGTCTTGCTTTTAATATTATTGTTTATACAATACTTAACATTGCTCACGGATACTATAATCAGATTAATTGTAGGCACAAAACATAGAAGCAGTGCAAAAATAAAACTGAAAACTTCTTTCTAAATATTTTCTCAAATTTATTTTTTTCCCTGTTGTTTTGAATTATATTTGTAACATAGTTACAGTTATTTTGTTCTTAAATACATTGTGGTATGTGTGATACCAAAAAGAACATTAGGCTGGCATCTAATTTGAACTAAGACGCTCCACACAGAGGTGAAGATGCTTTCAATCTGAAGGGAAAGATAGCATTTCAAGCTATTAATCAGGATCTTTGCACAGATCTAAAATCATCCAAAAGAGAGAAAAATTTTGTATGGGTTTTTTTTTAAGTTTTTAAAACATCCTCAAACAGCTTAAGAAAAAGAACTATTTTTTATGTATTCAGTAAATTAACAACTCTAGGCTAGTCCATATGAAAACAATGGGAACGACATCCAATGCAGGTCACTGCAAACTTTTAGTTCCTTCTCTGAAGTGAAGTGTTTAATAAGTATGTGCAGGAACAAGACTTACCATGGACAAAGAAGAGGAGAAGTATATATCATGTTTCAGATGACTGCAAATCATCCAACTGGTAGCCCATTATACCATACGCTGATGAAGGATTTTGCCATAACCATCAAGATCTTAAAAAAAACACAACAAAACACACAAAACATAATCAGACATTGAAATAGTGAAAACTGAGCGTTCCTTATTTAAAACACAATTTCACTACTCTTTAAAGCACACTTTTAAAAAGACAGTTAGAAAACAGCCTGTTGCACACCATCACCATCCAGCAAGAGCTTCTCTTACAACCACTGCCAATGTATTTTGCTCAGATACTTCATTTGCAGTTCTTTTGCCCTTTTTCTGGCTTTCAGCGGACCTTTCAGGATTCAGATCTTTTATTCATTGTTGTTTAATGATGATAGTTTTATGCATCAGCATTTTACTGAAAACAACATTTTCAAGTCCTATTTCATTTTCCTTTTTGTTCCTTTTATGCAGGACTTCACAGTGCGCTTTCCACCAAAGCATAAAATCCACACACCAAAATTAACTACAAAGGTGCATGACGGGGAAAAGGCACCGCATGTGAGCGGGCAGCCTGGCTGGGCCTGCAGCCCGGCACAGGCGTCGGCAGGCGGCTGACAATGCCAACACCTCTAACACAGGGTACACTGCTTAACTTGGGTTAGGAGTGCACGCAGAACAAGGAACACCCATCATCCCTGGCCTCAAGTCGCGCCCGGGGAGGTTTAGATTGGACGTGAGGAAAAATTTCTTTACTGAAAGAGTGGTGAAACATTGGAAGAGGCTGCCCAGGGAAGTGGTTGA